CTTTAGAACCAACTGGGTAGTAGCATGTTGGCAATGAGAACTGACCAGAAATTAGGGCTCAGCCTGCCTTATACCCTGGTGACAAGGAGGGAGACGTGGCTAACCCTCAGCTTCTTTATGAGCAGAATTGTTGGGTCATCTGGTGGGTGAGAAGAAGGAAGCCCATAAACCTGGCACGGTAGGTAGGGCGTGCCTGCGATTTCAGCTGCAGCAGGAGGATTACAAGTCCAGCCTAGACAATGTAGTGACTTAGTGATACCTTGTGTCAGAATAAAAAAGAGGTGGGGATGTAGCTCAATGCAGAGGCCCTGGCTTCAGTCCCCCGTGGTGGTGGTGGTGGTGGTGGTGGGGACTGTGGAGGTCATGGACAAATGGAAGCATTAGAAAGTCCTGCAAGGTGCAGGACTTCACCACTGCCTTGCCTGTTTGCTTTTTTTTTTTTTTTCTGGTTTTTTGATGGCACTGGGAATTGAACCCAGGGCCTTTTTACTGAGCTACATTCCCAGCCATTTTTCTGTTGTTGATTTTGAAACAGGTTCTTGCTAAGTTGTCCAAGCTGGGCTCAGACTTGTGATCCTCCTGTCTCACCTTCCCAAAGTGCTGGGATCACACAGGGGTGTGTATCACCGTGCCCCGTTATCTGTTTGCTTCTTAAACAGTCACATTCTCCAAAGGCCCTGTTTCTTCTACTGCAAGTCTGCATATCAGAGTAGGTAAACTGAGCGGGTCCATGTGATAAAGCACGGGCATTGAACTTCTTTGCTCAGAGACATAGCTTGTAATGTACTGGCCATCTAAAAATCTAAATTATTGTTTATACACAGTTTTTGGATGACTCGTTTTGTACTTTATTGTTAAGAGCCATGTCTTCAGATTTAACCTTTTGTTAAATAATCTACCCTAGTGTCACACTGCCCTAAATTTCTTTGTTGACCTGTATTCCTTCCTACCCCTGAGGTTTCTGGGAAGAAAAACCAGTGGGAACCTTAAGCATATTGTAATTTTGAGATTGCCTTGCAGAAGCAGACTGTGGCTGCAGAAGCTCTGTACTAGCAGCAAGAACAGCGTAGCAAGGACTTTGGCCCTGGAGGCAGAGCCCCCAGTGAGCCAGCCTGACTGACTCATCCTGTAGAAGGTTAGATCTGGCTCCTCAGTTTGCAGCATGCTTTTGCAGCCCATGGGGATAGGCTCCTTCCTGTTCCGGTCACAAGACAGAGAGGAGGTAGAGAGCACCTTGAAGACAGCCGCAGTTACTTTAGTAGCCATCTTTCAGTTCTTCAGGAAGTTTTTCACTTGTGATCTGCTTTTTAGAAATATGATACACCTTTCTTATTTTTTCTTGGTAAGTGGAATAGATAGGCTACCTTTATTTTTAAAAACATTTTATATTGGTAATTGACATATTTTCAACTGATAAAGATATTTTTAAATGATATATTTTCTTTAGTACCTTGTGCTTTATAATGAACCTTTCTAACATGAGTAATATAGCATCTTGTATTCTGATGGACATCTATGCCATTTCCAAAATGTTTCTCATATATCATTTTAGGTTATTTTTTGTTGGTTTTGGTGTGGGGTTTTTTTTGAGAAAGGGTCTCACTGTGCAGTTTAGGCTGGCTTTGAACTCACTGTAAAGCTCAAGCTGGCCTTGAACACTATGAGAGTTTGATGAGAAAAGATTTGAGTTTAAAACAGTTTGTTTCTTTTAACATTTAGAGTTTTTTAGTGCTTTTTCTATTATATCACTTGTAGGCAACCGCTAGATACATGTAATTATCAAGACATAACTGACTCTTCCCTCCTAATTATGGCATATAACTCTCTTGTGCTAGTTGATACTATTTGATCATTAGCTGTACAGTTCTCATAGGCATCATGGATTATTATAGTCCTCTCAAGCGTGGTGCACGATAGTAAAATATATTAATAAGTATAGTTGTTCGTTTCTGACTTTCAAGAGAAAGACAGAAACTACTTTGTACATTAGACCTTGTTTACTGAGCTCTTACTATATCCAGTACAGCTGCTTCCCTGTGTTCTCAGTTAAAGTTCATGCCAGCTGAGAAGTAGGTGGTTTCTCTGTATCTGTCTGTTGAAGAATAACAGCTGGAAGATCTTCAGTGGATCACAGGAAGAAGTGAGAGAAAGTTTCCCAGATGAGGTAATCTGACCTCCATCTACTTGCTGGTCAGCATCACACTCTTCTTCCTCAGAGTGATAAGGGTGAGATTGAGCTGGAATCTCAACATCACCCATCTGAGGGTTTTACTAACCATGTTTTTTCTGTGAGGAACAGTATTTTCTCATAAAAGAAAAGGTAGCTGTGTTTCCTGTGGCTGTATAGAGACAGTTGTTTGAACTGTGGTGCTGTGGTGCCATGCAGCCTGCCCCCTCACCTGTCAGCATCCTGGACTCCCTAGCTCCCAGTGAGTTCTCACAGTGGTGACCTTGCAGAGCCCCACCTCTCCCCGCCCTTCTCCCACAGAATGGAACATGGCGTTTTCTTAAGTGCTAATCCACTAGATGGCAGCAGACCCACGTGGAGCAGAATGGGTTTCCAGAAGTGGCACAAGTGGTACTGTTTTGCTTTTGATGAAACAATAATGCAGTCTTTTTCTTTTTTTTTTGATTTGTTAGAATTAGTGTTTTCTTTCTGATTTGGAAAATGTAATCCAATCTTTAAAGTCACCTTTCTGGAAGTAAAGTGTGGTGTGAATAGGTCAAAATTGTGGGCAGTGTGAAAATAGCATGTTCAGTGTATTCTTGTAGAGGTTCGTCGTTTTGATTTAATCCTAGTTCTATATATTAGATAACTTTTTCTTTAAGAAACTGTTTACTACATAGAAATAGGATTAAATAAATTTTTTTTTGGTACGGGGGATCGAACACGGGGCCTTGTGCTCACAAAACAGGCGGTGGAACCACTGAGCTAAATCCCCGGCCCAAATAAATACTTTTATAATTTGAAAATTACTTCCTAATTTTAATGTTTCATGAATGTTTTCTTTAATATTGAAGTTATGCTAATTCAAATGCATCATAAGCATCTCTAAGAGATGGTTAATATCCTTGAAACTGAATTACACTGCAGAGAATGAGTGATATATACCTGTGAAGTCTCATGACTGCCTCACCCAGTTGATAGCAAATCCCTTCTCATTTTCTCTATTTTTTAAATGACAGAACAAAAAGTATTTGCCACTTTAAGTCTATAAGGTCCCAGAGATTGTGATGACCTGACCTAGTAAAATGATCATGTGCTGAGAAGCACTACAATTGGAGTCACCATCTGGGTAGGGTGTGCTGAGTGTACCTGCCCAAAAGATAAGGACGCTACCATGTGGTGGACTTAGACACCACTGGCCATGGCAGAAGCAGTTCTCCTTAATTCCTAAAGGCTGGATAATTTTAGGCCATGTTTACAAATTATAATTATTTATTCTTTCCAAGATAAGCCTTTAGTCTTTTTTTGGCTGGCAATTTATTCATGAATATTGTTAAAGTTCCTGTGCTTGGCCTGTTTTCTACTGGAGTTTCTGACATTTTCAGTTATCCTAGTTCTTCCTATGTTATGAATATTGCCTCTGTCTTATAAATTATGTAGTCTCTACCTTTGTTTTTAAACATTTGATTGTAATAACAGCCACACCCATTTACTTTTCATTACTTTTTACCAGTCTCATATGTGAAAAGCTGATTACTGAGCTAAATAAAGAGAATACTCTTCTTTAGTTCTTGGAAATGTGCAAGTTCTTTGAGATGGGTTACATTCTTATTTCTACTTGGCATTTTATGTCCATACATGCGTAAAACTATAGGCCTTCCTTTGGGTCCACTGCAGTGGACATAGACAGCTGGATTTCGAGTTTAACGTGAATTGAGAACTCTTGATTTAAATTCTTTAAATATTCGAAATCTACACAAAAGTAAAATTACATAGTACAGTGACCCCACTGGGTACAACAATTACAGACATTTTTCAACTTTTGTTTAATACATTTTTTTATATATTCACATTTCTCTAGTTGTCCCCAACATATTTTATACTTTTTCCAAATTCAGACTCTAGTACAAAAAAAAAATCACACTGGACCTTTTGGATGTTTTAACATTTTGAGTGCTTCAGTTCTTTAATTTGCAAAGCTGCCCTGGAGCTGGGCTTGTGTCTTAGTGGTGGAACCCTTGCCTAGCATGCTCGAGACCCTGAGTTAGATCTTCAGTAATACAAAAAGTGAAAAATGAAGCACTCCCTCTTTGTTGAATTTTTTTTTCTTTTGTGATATTGGTATTTTTAAAAGTTCAGGCCGGTTATCTTGTAGATTATTCCGGTCTAGATTAGTCTGATTTCTTTTCCTCATAATTAATTCAGGCCAAACATTTAAATAAGGAAAAAATACATAAGCCCTATTATGACTTTTCTCGTCCCATCCTATGAGAAGATTCATATTAGTTTGTCTCATTGTTAGTGCTAAATTTGATCATTTTTTAAACAACAGATACATCTGTGATATAGTCATCTCCTAAATGTCATCTGTGTGGTAATAATTTGAAGTTATGTGAATGGTCTCTGGTTTTAGCATCCTTTAATGATCTTGCTTTCAATGATCAACTATTTTGTAGATAATTGAAAATGATTTTTAAAATTTTCCACATATACTAACTAGAAATGTTTCACTTTATATTATAATGAAATATATAATTTGTCTTAATGTCCTCTCAAATTTTATGGCAATAGAGTTAGGTAAAATTCTTTATGCCATTATTTTTATTTGCTACCCTGATGAAATAAGGAAGATGACAGTGTTTCACATAATTTTTTTGATAACCCATTTTTTTACTAGATTTAAATAAACCATTTGTTTTTTTCAATTAGTGTTGTTTATCCTTATCCCTTTGTTTTTCTTTTTTAACTGCCTAATTACCTAGTTGTTTCTAACTTAATTATCTCTACAGCCCTAACATTTGTAAAAATTACACATTAATTTCTATTATTATAGCTGTGGAAATACAAAGGACACTGAATCAACTTGGAACACCGCAGGATTCACCTGAATTGAGGCAACAGCTGTAAGTACTTAACAACAACAAAAAGAAAAGTTACTGTTATGGTGCTTTAGTAGTAGTATGTGCTTAGTAGAGAAAACAATGGAAAATTAGTAAGATTTTTAAACTACCTCATCTAGACATTTGTACCATGTGTTTATGTAGTTTTTACCCTGCCCAAAGTAAGCAGATGTTTTTAGCTTACTCTATCAAAACAAACTTCTTGAGTTGGCCTTTCTTGTGCTTTTTAAATTGGTTGTTTTACAGCTTTTTAAAAATTGGACTCATGCTTCTCTTCAGTATCAGATTTTTATTAGGTTTAGGTCTGTATCCAGCTCTATAAACTATCCTCCTAAATCCCACATCTTTGAATTTCAAAAAGCATTAGCTTTTGTTAAAAAACAGGTATAATGAAATGGTACAGTACATATTCTAGTAAATCAATATGCTGTTAAAACAGTAACTATACTTTTCTGTATATTGAAGGAAAATTGCAAAGAAGAAATATATAATAGCAATTCATGAACTTTATGGTCTCCTTTAGAACTTTGACTGTAGTACCATTTCCAAAGATTTAAATAAGTACATCAAAGATAAGATGTTTGGTAAATAAAGGTATAAATAGCTTATATGTCTTTGTTAGTAGTTCCATAGAGATACTTAAGCATGTTCTTGTATAGTATCTCTTTAGTGTGGCCAGTACATGATTAAAACGAGAGAGCTGATATACATGAGAGGCACTGTTGTAATTTATAAAGCATCAGCTTGATGCAAGCTTACTTTTTTCAGCATTAGATTTTTTAAGTTAAAAATATTGTTTGCTTTTTATATTAATAAGATGTAGGTATGGATGTAATTTACATCCCCTTACAAGGAAATGCTATTAATTTTTTCTGCCTCATGCTTAAATAATGGTAAGTTTGTACTATGATTACTTCTTCTGTGTTTTAAAGTATGCATAAGATATAAATGTCCGTATAAAGAAATAAGACATATGTGCCCAAGACCGAGGAACTGGGCCAAGTGGAAGACAACAAAGCTTACTTGCTCAACTGACCTCCTCAGTGTGGGACACAGATAAAAGGCCCCCACATCTCCAGTATCTCAGACTTCAAAGTCCAGACAGCCAACATCTCTCAATTAAATCCCCTACTGACTTCAGTTATCCTCTTTTCTGGATGGCTACTGATATATTTATAAGCTTATTTACCCTGTCTGAATGAAAAATTTTTTATATAATATTTATCAAAAATAGCATATGAAGGGCCGGGGATTTAGCTCAGTGGCTCTGCCGCCTGCCTTGCAAGCGCAAGGACCCAAGTTCAATCCCCGGGTACCAAAAAAAAAAAAAAAATAGCGTATGAAAATCAGGTTTTGATACAGGAAATTTAGAGCCAGTTTATAATATAAGCAGTTTTATGGTTTATACTTTAAAACTAAAAAGTAATTTTTCTGAGGCTGTTCATCAGGGAGGTGCACATGACAAAGTTGTAGCATAAAGAAAATTATCAGTTGTTTGACTGTAATGTGTGTTTTCTCTCTTTAGGCAGCAGAAGCAGCAGTATACTAACCAACTTGCCAAAGAAACAGATAAGTACATTAAAGAGTTTGGATCTCTGCCCACCACCCCCAGTGACCAGGTATCAAGCTTTAAGACACGTGGTGACGTATTGAATGTGAAAGAAATCAGATGCACTGAACTCTGATGCTAGAAAAGGAAGTTGAGGAACACAAAAATCCTATTTTACTTAGGTAGTATCTTGTGGTTCAATAAAGCAAAACTTATTTCCATGCAGTTGCCTTCACCTCTGATTAAGTGCAATTAAGTGTGTGCTCAGAAAATGCTTCCTTAGTAATTGCTTCCTGGCTTTCCAGGTCTGGTTCCGTACAACACACACACTCACTCATTCAACATGGAAAGCTGCCTAGGGACATATATTTGTTTGTGTACTATGTAATGGAAGTAAGTTATGACTTAGCTAAGAGTATAAGGTTTTACTTTCCCCCAAAAAGAACTACTTTAAAATAACTTCATAATCATGAACCAGTTTCTAGAAGCTTCAGAAATTTGAGGGGAGAAACCCAGCCAGATGAGCCCTTTGCCTCAAGGTACATGCACACAATGTTTGAGCACATAGAATGTTACTGAGAGTGAATCAATACATTGGGGATTTAGTAAAAGTTTTAGAATTAAAGAGCCAGCCAGCTTGATTCTAGTAGACTCCTCCCCGCTTTCCTCTAGCGACAAAGGAAAATACAGAAGGATCGCTTAGTGGCCGAATTCACAACAGCACTGACGAACTTTCAGAAGGTCCAGAGGCAAGCTGCTGAGAGAGAGAAAGAATTTGTTGCTCGAGTAAGAGCCAGTTCCAGAGTGTCTGTAAGTACTTTCAACAGCACTGTAAAAGCAAACTTGAGAGTCTCTCAGAGTCCCAGAGAAATCTACTCTCGTGATTTTTTAAACCATAGATATGTGAATATTTCGGAAATCTGTATTTGAATGTTTATTTTCAGGCTTTTCTGCTCAATTTTTAAGATGGATAATGGTTTATATATTGTTATTTTGCCTATGTCATGAACCAACAGGTATAATATAGAAACCTGTCAAAAACTCAGTGAAATCACCTTGGTTTTTCACAGTGAGTGGGCGCCAAGGGGCTCCACTGTAGGCACACAGCGCCTCCTGCTGGATGTGGAGGAGATGCGGTGGGGCTGAGCAGAGTACACGGTGTATATGATAGGAGTATTGAATATGGGCCTGGAGAAAATAAGAGGATGATTGAAAGTGGAATTTTGACATAATCTAATGTTAAATTCCCTCAGAAACCATCATAAGTT